CTCCAGTGTTGGCCCAGAACACGCCTTTTCCCCCCGATCCAGAAGAGGATGCTAGGGGCGAGGAGAAGGGTGTCAGCTTCAGCTCCAGAGCTCGCTCCAGTGTCGGCCCAGGCCCCAAAATTCGCTCCAGTGTGGACCCAGACCACGCCTGTTCCCCCCGATCCAGAAGAGGATGCTAGGGGTGAGGAGAAGGGTGTCGGCTATGGCCCCAGAGTTCGTTCCAGTGTCAGCCCAGGCCCCGAAGCATAGCCCACGGAGGGCTCCAGATCCAGATCCCCCGCAGAGCCTAGGAAGGGCTCCCAATCCCCAGTTCAGCCCAGGAAGGGCTCCTGTTCCCGAGTATAGCCCACGGAGGGCTCCCGATCCCCCGCAGAGCCTAGGAAGGGCTCCCGATCCCCAGTTCCGCCCAGGCGGGGCTCCCGATCCCTAGTTAAGCCCAGGGAGGGCTTAAGATCCGCAAGTAAGCCCAGGGAGGGCTCCAGTCCCCTGCCGTGGCCCACGGAAGGCCTCGGAACCTGTAGGCGTCCCCTAGTATTTTTTTGGGGGCGGTATGGCTCCAGCCGTAGAGGCGGGGGCTAAGGCCACGGCCTCGAAGGCTGCTCCGAGGTCTCCAGAGCGGGAGAATTACGCGGGATTTTTTTTTAATTAGGTGGGTTTTTCTTGACTCAGTGTCAGATTGGAGGTTGCATTGCCAAGGTAAGCAGGTAAGTTCGTATTACGTGTTTTAACTTTTTTCGTTAAGATAAGTATGATTTGTGTTCGTTTGTTGATTAAGTATAAGCGTGAATATTGTTTATAGTTGATTAACTGAGTACTGTGTTATATGTCAGATAATGGCTGATTTTTCCCCGAGCAAGTTTGTTGAGATAAATGATGAAGAGGTGGAGGCGGTTCGACATGATTTTCAGTTGTCAACCGTAAGTAATAAATTTGGTGATTAGTGTAATTCATGAATTCATGTAATTATGTGTCAACATCGAAAAATCGATGATTAATTGAAAACACTGATCAAAAAAAATACTGCGAAAACAAAAACATGCAGTTTTGCAAAAGATGCTTGATGCTTGCTTGTGGTGCATTGGCCTAACGTTAATTTTATAATGAAATAGGCCAGTTTATTAAAGGCGTTATAAATTTAAAGTTTACTTACACTACTGACATACAAGTGTGCATAAAGCATCATGCAAAAATAAAGGTTTACAAATGCGAGTGTTAGTGACCCATTATAGATTTATTTCATGTCCTTACTAGATTGGGCAGTTTGGGACTTAGCGCAATAAACAATATACAATACAACCCTCTACACTGCAAGTAAATCACTCGCATATGCGACTAAATCTTCATTCTGGGCGACTAAATGATGTCTAATATTAGCCAATGGCTAATAAATTCTCAGATTTTACTCGCCAGTGTGTGAGTTGGAGGCTGAGTATATGATTAGCACAGATATGTTTTCACTCATAGAACACTGACTGAGCGCTTCAGAGTTTCACTCTCCGTCAAGTGATCTGTGATATTTTTCAGTTCATTTGAATGGATGCGCAGCGCACCTGTTTTTGTGTATTTGGCGTAACGTAAACTGTAGTGTGAAGGCGCACGACTCTCTGTCGCTTTCTCTCACACGCACAAAGAGCGAGAGCGTCTTCCATAACATGCAGAATTGATGCGCTACATGTAAACGATATACTTCGTTGTATTTTCCTGTAAAAATAACGGAGTTCCTTTGGAATTCTTCAGCCGGGTTTTCCGGTAGTGGGCGGAACTAATGCGCAAACTACAATCTCATTGGCTGGCGCTCACCTATTATCGTCCCTGTTTTGATTTCAGCGAATCAGTTCGAGCGAACGCACACAACCTGATTAATATTCATGAATCCAGTAGCTCATTAATCCTTAGTGCGTTTTTATATTGTTCTTATTAGTAGAATTCGTATAATAATAATAATAATAATAA